CCAGGGGCAGCTCCCCTGAAATCCCAACATCCCGGGGCAGCTCCCCTCAAATCCCAACATCCAGGGGCAGCTCCCCTCAAATCCCACCATCCAGGGGCAGTTCCCCTCAAATCCCAACATCCAGGGGCAGCCCCCCTGAAATCCCAACATCCCGGGGCAGCTCCCCTCAAATCCCAACATCCAGGGGCAGCTCCCCTCAAATCCCATCATCCAGGGGCAACTCCCCTGAAATCCCAACATCCAGGGGCAGCTCCCCTGAAATCCCAACATCCAGGGGCAGCTCCCCTGAAATCCCAACATCCCGGGGCAGCTCCCTTCAAATCCCATCATCCAGGGGCAGCTCCCCTCAAATCCCAACATCCAGGGGCAACTCCCCTAAAATCCCAACATCCAGGGGCAGCTCCCCTGAAATCCCAACATCCCGGGGCAGCTCCCTTCAAATCCCAACATCCCGGGGCAGCTCCCTTCAAATCCCAACATCCAGGGGCAGCTCTCTCCAACCGGGCTTCTTTCCTTCCAGTTTTTGTTCTTTTCCCCCTTTGGGTTTCTTTTTAAGCGAAGGTTCCACTGCTTATGTGACTTTGGAGGCGCATGCTTTTGCTTTCTTATTTTGTTTGGACATTAACATCAGCGTTTCCACTGACATTAAAGCCTGTATGATCTTGATTCTAGGGCTGGATAATAGCCCAAGAAGTGGACATCCAGCCATTCTGCTGGTGCACAGTGAGGTGGCTGGACCCATCCCAAGGCTGGAGTCAAGTCTGTCACGTAGCGGGTAGAGGACAGCCGGGAGCCAAGGCGATGTGGGTGGAGAGCTAGTGAAGCAGAGCTCACCTTGGATTCACAACAAAGCTACTCATGTGGGAAAAGGGAAAATATGAAGGTAAAAAACACACCACTGGGATGGGTTTCCATCCCAGCCTGAAGACTGGGTCACAGAAGCAAAAGAGGAACTCGGAGGCTATAAACAGAGACCCAGGTCCAACCGCTATTAGGGCCCTTCTGACTGCCTTCCCCTGGTGCTGGCTCAGTTGTGAGGCTCTCCACAGAGGGGGGGACACCCCACGGAGGGGAACATCAGCACCCAGGGGGACAACTACGCTGGGTGTGGGGGGGCACCTCACCGGGAGGACACCTGTGCTGAGGGGAACACCTAGCAAGAAGTGGGGGGCACCTGCACCAGGGAGATACCTCTGCCAGGCAGACACCTCTGCCGGGAGGGACACTGGAGGGGAACACCTGGGCTAAGGGGTACCTCACCGAGGGGACACTTCACAGAAGGGACACCTGTGCTGAGGGGAACACCTGTGCTGGGGACACTTCACAGAGGGGACATTTGTGTTGACGGAAACATCTGTGATGGGGACACTTCACAGAGGGGACACCTGTGCTGAGGGGAACACCTGTTCTGGGGGCACCTCACCGAGGGGACACTTCACAGAAGGGATACCTGCGCTGAGGGGAACACCTGTTCTGGGGACACCTCACTGAGGGGACAGCTCCACTGGGAGGTCACCTGTGCCAGAAGGGACACCTGCACCAGAAGGACACTTGTGCCTGGAGGGACACTACCAGGAGGGACACCTGCGCCTGGGGGACATCTCCGCCGAGGGGACACCTGCGCCTGGGGGACATCTCCGCCGAGGGGACACCTNCTCCGCCGAGGGGACACCTGCGCCTGGGTGACATCTCCGCCGAGGGGACACCTGCGCCTGGGGGACATCTCCGCCGAGGGGACACCTGCGCCTGGGGGACACCTGCGCCTGGGGGACACCTCCGCCGGGGGGACACCTGCGCCTGGGGGACATCTCCGCCGAGGGGACACCTGCGCCTGGGGGACACCTCCGCCTGGGGGACATCTCCGCCGAGGGGACACCTGCGCCTGGGTGACATCTCCGCCGAGGGGACACCTGCGCCTGGGGGACACCTCCGCCGGGGGGACACCTGCGCCGAGGGGACACCTGCGCCGAGGACCCTCGCCCGAGCGGGATACACCACGGGGTGCTGAACGGCCTCCCCGCCCTCCGAGCCCCGGCCCGGCCTCCCCCTACGCGCCCCCGCGGAAGCCAGAGACTGGGAGAGCGAGGATGAAAGACGGCGACCACCGCCCAGGGAGCCGAGGGCCGCCGGGGCCCGCAGCTGCCTCACCCTCTACGCCGCCGCCGCCGCCACCTCAGGAGGCCCGCCCGGAAGTGGACGGCGCGCGGGAACTTCCGCTTCCGTCACGGCGCCGGAAGGACGAGAGCCGAGCCCTGAGCGCGGGACTCCGAGGCGGCGGCGGCGGCGGCGCGAGGGAGCGGCGGGTCCCGAAGCGGGACGGCGGACGAGGCCGAGGCTCCCGGCGGCCGGGAGGCGGACGGAGACTCCGGTGTCACGCGCAGGTGCTCCGGGGCTGCGTCCTCAGCGACAGGGTGGGCCGGGGAGGCCCGGGGACCTTGCGGGAGGCACCGTCCTCCACCTGGGCGGGAGCGGACTCCGGAGGGAGGGAGGCAGCGGCGCGCCCGGCTCGGAGAACGGACGCCGGGCCTGGCTCCTCCGCAGACCTTCAGCGCGCAGGTGAAGGTCAGCACTGCGGACGTAGCAGCAGGAGGTTCAGGCCGCGGGGACCGCAGGCGAGTGGGGGGGACCCTGCGTGCACACGCGCCCGTGACGCGCACGCGGGTGAGTGGGGCCGAAACGGCGCCACGTGCGTGGGAGGGCACCTGAGGCATCACGAACACGATCGGAGCTGGAGGCGCTTCTCTCCTGGGCCTGTGGTGACGTGACGTTTGCTATACTGAAGTTCTGAACTTTTTTTTTTTTTTTTTTTTTTTTTGAGACGGAGTTTCGCTCTTGTTGCCCAGGCTGGAGTGCAATGGCGCGATCTCGGCTCACCGCAGCCGCCGCCTCCTGGGTTCAGGCAATTCTCCTGCCCCAGCCTCCTGAGTCGCTGGGATTACAGGCACGCGCCACCATGCCCAGCTGATGTTTTGTATTTTTAGTCACCATGCTGACCACAAGCTGACCAGGATGGTCTCGATCTCTTGACCTCGTGATCCACCCGCCTCGGCCTCCCACAGTGCTGGGATGACAGGCGGGAGCCACCGCGCCCGGCCTGAAGTTTTTAACTCTTATAGGATGTATTTTTTAAATCCTCAAGTGAGAAACCAAGCCACACACTGCGGGAAAACCTTGTCAACACCTGTAACCGACAAAAGATTGCTACCCAGAATAGAAACGGAACTCCTGCCAGTTAACCCAAAAGGGCAAACAAGTGCAGCAAGAAATGGGTAAAGACAGAGCCTTTGGCTCGGGGGATGAGCTGCCTCCCTTGGCCTTCCTGAGGGAGACCTTGTCCCCGCACCCCCCTCACGGGGCTCAGCTCAAGCCTTTGAGCCACGACCAAGGCGTCTCCACCCACGCCCTGCTGTGTTGTCACTCAGATCTCACGGTGGCAGTGCTGCCTCCCACACCCGCCGTTCAGCTCCAGCCCTCCATATGTCCCGCATAAAACTGCCCCAAAGACCTGGGGCACTCCCAACCCCAGCTCTGTGCACCTGCAAAGCCCCTCCCTGCGTCACAGAGTTGACAGGGTTCTCATAGTCACGTTCAGCTGCCTGCACCCCTTCTCCTTGCATGTAGGCACACACCGCACAGCACACACCTGCAGACACCGGCTCTGGGACACCACTGACGTTTGCATGTGTTTTCTCCTGAATGTGTCCCCAGCACTGGTGCAGGGCCTGATATTTAACAGGTATTAAAAATTCCTGAATGAACAAAACACACATAAAACTGCCGTTTCATCCCTTCAGAAGCCCAAGACTGAAAATGTCTGTCCACACAGGTGCCAGGGCTGGGTAGGGTCGCAGCCTGGGAGATAGAGAGGAAGGAGGGAGACCAAGTGGGTGAAGCCCCTCTTCTGGGCAGCGCCTAGTGAGATGAAATTGCATGTATCCAGCAATTAGGCTCCCATCTATGATTCCAGCACTTTGGGAGGCTGAGGTGGGCTGATCACATGAGGCCAGGAGTTTGAGACCAGCCTGGCCGACATGGTGAAACCCAGCCTTTACTAAAAATACAAACATTATCTGGACGTGGTGGTGGATGCCTGTAGTCTCAGCTACTCTAGAGGCTGAGGTGGGAGAATCACTTGAACCTGGGAGGTGGAGGCTGCAGTGAGCCAAGATCATACCACTGTACTCCAGTCTGGGCGACTGAGTGATACTCCATCTCAAAAAAAATAAAAAATAAAAATTGTGTTCATCCTAACTCCACACAGGCTCACTCAGCAGAAGCCAGACTGGGGGTGAGGAGTGAAAATGTGGGAACTCCGTCTGCCTGAGGAGAGGGCATGGGGGGAGGGTATGGAGCCACAGATGGGAGGGCTGGCCTGGTCCCCGGGGAGGACATGGGAGTCTTACACCAGTGACCGGGACAGGTTTGCTGACCATCTGCAGGTGCAAAGGAGGCCTGGCAGGGGCTGCTAGGACTCTCTGAAGGTGCCTGAGAGGAAACAGAAGCTCAGTTCCCTGGGCCTTGGGCTGCCATCTGTGCTTGAGGAGGCCCCAGCACTTTTTTGATGGCATTGGGGGAGTAGGGGGGGTGTCTGGCCACAATTTGCCTGGGCCAGTGACCCCTCACCCCCTTCCCATGGGCCTGTCATGCAGGCCCTGTCCCAGGCAGGGTGGGCGCCACCTGACCCCGACCCACAATGCCCTCAGCCCTACCTTCCTCACTTCACGGGTCAGGTCTGGGGCGTCCCGAGAGCACCTGGTAGGGTCCCTAACCCTCAGTGACAGGGAAGAGGGGCCCAGACCGTCTCTAGAAGCAGTGCCACTGGGCGGCAGCAGGGAAACGGCAGGCACTTCCTCCTCCTTCAGGAGGCTTGTAGCTCTAGAGTTTTTATTTTTATTGCTGCCTTCTATTTAGTGGTGAAAGGCTGCTTTAGAATGTAAATTAACCAGCACACCCTTTAAAGGAAATAAAGTGACTTCATTAGGAAAATGCAGACATTTCAATATGTTAAACATGTACTAGCATGTCATATATTTTATATCAATATTGATATTTAATACAAACCACAGTACAAAAAGTATTTGAAAGCTTTCTAAAGGCACTGAGAAAGCAGTAGAGAAAGCTGCATTTATAGTGCAAAAGTTTTAAAAATTCAACAAGTTAGTCTAGGTATTGAAAACTTTTTTCTTCCAGTAGAAACTGCGACAATATAAAATATAAGCTGTATTTGTCACCTCCCTTCCATCCCATTCCCACATTACACTTGACTTTAAAACTTTTTCAGCAGTAGGCAAAAGCTACATAAACAGAAAAACATGAACCTGTAATTAGTGCCAACAAGAGAAATGACCACATCCGCACCTTCTATGTTCTATTATCTTCCCCAGTTTTCCAAGAGGGATGTGGCTATAAAATAACAAAAGTGCTGACAGGGAGTTTTTGTTGCCACTGAGGAAGGGACGTTGGACACCCTGCTGGCCCCAGGCACTCAGAGCCACAGCCTCCTGTGGGGTCCCCACACCACAAAACCTACAGAGCTGACACCTGTGTGCAGAGCGCAGCGTCAACACAGCATGGGCTGCACAGCAGCCACGGCTATGCAATCTGTCACCGGGAGGGCCTTGGATGGGGGTGTGTCTGAAGGTCTGGGAGGTGCAAGGCAGGACGTGGTGAAGGAGCCTCCTGGGCAGGGGCTGCCGTCTGTGCTGCTCTGACAGCACTGAGGGCCCTGGCTACAGTCGGCAAATGCAAAGCCACGTCTGATTCCATCTTTGGGGCCTGGTGTTTCGCCCAGTGACAGCCATTGGTTCCAGGACACTCGAGCCCTGTGATACACATGGAAGACTGTCAGTCACTGAGCTCCCTGCCCACCTCAGCCCTGAGACTTGGAAGGGCAGCTGCCACTCGGGACCCAGGCAGCACCCGGGCTGAAGGGAGCTGCTGAGGGTTGAGCTCCAGCCCTCAGGACAGGGAACCCAGGAGTGGAACATGCGTGTTGATCGATACGTTTTCAGGGATACGGCACATCTGATTTTTAATTATTTTTTGTGAGACAAGTTATTGCTATGTTGCCCAGGCTGGTCCTGAACTCCTGAGCTTAAGTGATCCTCCCACCTCAGCCTCTCAAAGTGCTGGGATTATAGGCATGAGGCATTGCGCCTGGCCTGCGGGTCTAATTATTAAGGGTCTTTTCATGATCAGGAAAAGAATTGGGCACTTGGTTAGAATAGGAAGGAAGTGGGAAGCTTCTGAAATACCATCCTGGTCTTAAAGCCATAAATGCCCAGAGACCAGAGGTGTGCCATGCTCAGTATGAGAAATGAATAAAGAGGGCTCTGTGCAGTGAGGGGCCAAGGTGGGAAGTAGGGGCTGGTCCTCACATGGGGTCCTCATGGGTGCCTGGTCCTCACAGGTGACTGGCCCTCAGGTGGCTGGTCACCCTATGGCTGGCCCCTGGGTAGCTCTGTCCCCATTGTGAGTCTAGGCATCATGTAAGGGGGAGATGGAAGTGGAATGCCATGAGCACATCTCATGCCCACAACAGCACAGCACCAAGGTCACCTTTCGAAAGGCACCCTGTGGCTAAGCAGAGTGGCCCCTTGGCAGGGCTTGGGAGTCACAGGAGGCCACGTTGGATCTGTGACTCTGGGCTCCAGTGGTTGGCCTTCCTCTTTCAGTTCTGGGAAGAGAGTCTTATCCCTATCCCTGCCACGTGGGGGAAACTCTCCCAGAACCAGGCTGCTGAGGGGTGCAGGTAACTGGCAATGGGCAGAAAACCTAGTCCCACCAACCAAACCTGGGTTTTGACAAAGTGAAGGTGCATTTAACAAATGGCTTCACCATTAAACCAGGGGCTAAACACTGACACTCCAAAGCCACCAACAAGGGGGGGAGTCCACGCAGGAGGCAGAATGCACAGTGCGATGGGCTGGTGGGTCCCTTACCCCGAGGGCTCTCCCAGTGGAGCTGACGTCCCTGAGGAGAGGGGCCTCGTGCCACGGCTTCCTCCTGCTTGGTGGTGACTTCTACACCCTGATATGATGCCTGCACCAGCGGGGTGCAGCGTGGAAGCAGCCTGAACTGTACCATCAGCTGTAATTTATCTCAGGCTGGTGGACCGGTGACCTTCACTTTCTGACTGCTTTTGTATCCAGATTTCCTATCCTCAGAATATATTGCCTTTACAGCTGTTTTAATGCTATTAATACTTGTCCGTAATTATTCTCCAAGAATGGCCGTGGGAACCCTCATCTGAGTGAACTATAGAGACAGCCAGACAGGGAGAAAAACCCCACAGACAGCGCAGTCACCTATGTCTTTTCTCTACATTGTGTGTTTCTTTGTACTTCCAGACTCAGGTCTTGAACTCTGTATTACATGATGTACCAAGAGGCAGATTAGTAAGACCATCCGCAGAGACCCACTAAGAACACGGGAGATGTCCAGAAGGCACAGGTGTTACCCTGTCCATTTCTAGTCCACACCTGGCCTCAGTCTCTGTCCTGGTGCCACGGAGCACCTGCCGCACAACGTGGGGCAGTGTGGGACCCAGCACTGCCAGCCTCTGCTGCCTGGAGCATTCTAGATTCCTCCGTGAGTGGGCTCACAGCCCCTTTCTCCGCGAGGTGTATTTCTAATTTGCCGGGTGCTGGCCTCTGCAGTGCACTGCAGCGATGGGCTGACACTGCCTGCATAGCACAGGCCGGAAGCTGCAGGTGGTCAGAAAGGGCCGAGCTAGAAGTGCCCCCCACAGCTTCCCTGACTGTGGACTTGGCAGCAGTGGGACGGTGCTCCCTGCCGCTCGGGCATGACGCTGTCCAGCCGTGATCGCTTTATTAAAGATTTTAATTCCTCAAAGAGAAATGCTGTCATGCCTGAGTAGACTTAAGGCCAGTTCGCATTTAAGAATGGCTGAAATATTTTATAAAATTTGGGATACGCTGCTGCATACGCTGCACACAGACGAGGGGACTGCGCATGTGCAGCTCTGCAGAGCATTTCTTAGGAAGGTGTCTGGCCTGACCAGGTGCAGGGGGCAGCCCAGCCACTGGCGCATCTGAGCTTGGACGGCGGTCACCGCGCTATGGCAGGAATGTGCACTCTGAGGCTTGGGGTGGGACCAGCATCGCCAAGGCACTTTTGGGAAACATCCCAGGCACCCTTCCCTGGCTGTAAGTGGCCCACTGGGGTGAGTCCAGCGGCTCGCGCTTGACCACAGGGGCGGCCTCAGCAGCTCTGCAGGCGCAGTGCGGCAGAGAGGATGATTCGCCTCGGCCCCGCGTGCAGAGCTGGTGGGGAGGCTCCAGCTGGGGAAGGCTGTGCGTGGGTTCCAGGCGCGTGCAGTGCGCAGGGTGGAAAGGGGCCAGCTCCCTGCTGCGCCCTGCAGTGGCCCTGCCCTGGGGCTGAGCCCCCAGGACGCCATGCCCGAGGTGTGCAGTATAGACCTGGTGCAGGGAGTCTGGCTCTGTCTTCAGGGGCATCCTGGTAGGGAAGGTGACCGGACGGCTCCTGTCCCCGGCCCCCAGTCCCCACACCTGGCTGGGCACGCAGCCATGGGCAGCACCTTCAGACCCAGAGTCCTTCTCCATCTTGATGGGCACATCTAGCAGCAGCGTCGGGCGGCACAGGCCCCCTGGAGGCATCTGCACGCCTCGAAGCTTCATGTCCTCTGTGGGATAGCCCCTCGAGGCCAAACGCTGAGCTTCAGGCTGAGGGTGCTGCAGGCTCCCCTGGGCAAAGTGGCAGAGGGGAGGGTGCACCTGGTCCTCACTGACATCCCGTGAGGCTCTGCTGGTCCGGATGGCGTGGGCACTGGGGGATGGGCTCGGCGGCTGAGAGATGGGCAAGTTCCTGAATGTGCCCGAGCCACTGGCATTGAAAGTGCCCTGGACACACGGGTAGGGCAGGCAGGAGCCGTGGGACGTGGGGCGCAGGGAGAGTAGGCCACTCTGGCTGGGCTGCAGCTTCGGCCGGGCACCATCCTCACTGCGCCTTCCTGCCGCCCAGGGCAGGGGCTTTGCTGGTCCCGGCATCTCCCTCCGCCCTGTAGCTCCAGAGGCCCTGCTCAGCACCCTCTGCTGCTCCTCCTCCCTGTCCCTGCAGAGAAAAGATGCCCATTTGACAGTGGCTGAAAATACTAGGTCTGGCCACCTTGGGTGGGGGTCTCTAAGGGAGGCTACTACATTAGGACGATGCCAAATCTGCTGGGGCTGCTACAGCGACCCCACACCGCACCGTCCCCTCTAACCCACCCAGCAGCCCAGGAGGCCGTGCCAGCACCCCCCACCCCTGCTCCATGTGCCTGGGGAGAGTGAGGAGGGCCCAGGGTGGGGAAGGGCACAGGCTTCAGGGAGGGGTCCCTGTGAGGCCTAGGCCGCCTGTGCGGTGTCAGCCGCACGAGTCAGTAGCTCTGGGTGGGGGGAGGGGGCTGTGCAAATGGCCCCATGGAACTGCAAAGCAGAAAGCACCGTGTCCAGCAGTTTCTGTGGCCAGGCTCTCTTGCTGACCAACTGGACGCTGCATGACATTAGGACTGGCACTGTGTGACTGTGAGACAGTGACCTGGAAGGTGGGGAGGGGCCTGCGGTGCACAGCTGGGCTGGTCAGGAAAGGGGGGAGGCCCACCTGGGCAGCAGGCAGGCCCTGGAGAGGGAGGGGGAGGAGACAGGACTGAGCAAAGGCAAGCTCAGGATGGAGCCGGGTGACCCAGGTTCTAGGCGACAGGTGAGGGCTGGTCCCAGAGCCCGGGCAGCTCGGCCAGAGCCCACGGGGCATCCTCAGCCCCAACATCCCTGGACTACTGCTCCCTGGGGTCAGTCCCCAGCGACACGCATGACTTCCAGCCGGGAAGCTGTGTGCACAGCTCCACAGGGAGCAGGGTCAGCTGTGGCTCGCATGGTGGTCAAGGCTGCCATCGTCTTTTTCCCTTTGTAATCGGTCCTCCCACCCCTTACTTTGGGCCTCCACAGTGACCTAGGAAGCTGCCGGGGCTGGGGGGGTGCTGCCTAGCACCACTTACCTTGAGGTCCCCTTGGGGTCGAGGACAAGGTCAGGGCTGCCCCGGAGGCACAGGCATGGGGCTCTGGTGGGAACCTGTGCCCATCGGCCAGTGTCAGTCTGTTCCCTGAGCACCAAAATGCTGCTTTCTCTGCTGCTCCTTCCTGTTGGGGTTTGGGGGGGGAGGCCGTCACCGTGTGAGCTGAGGAGCTCCTGGACGACCGCTGCGTGTTCTCAGCAAGGCAGGACCCATTGGGCTGCTTAGAAATGCACACATCAGAGCCCAGGACCAGTGCTTGTCCACAGCAGGACAGACATCGAGTCTGCAAAATGGCTTTTCCATGGAATATGGCACAACTCCACCGGGCAGGGAAGCTCTCCAAGAAGCAGAAACACATTTTACCCATGTGGAAAAGATCAGACAGAAATGTTCTAAGTACCTGCTGAGTAATTGGGTTTTCCATGCAGTTCCGATTCGCACAGACTCGTGGTGGCTTTTACTCTGTGAAGAACACAGATAACAGCAAGATGACGTGTGGATTAAACATGCATCGAAGGTAGAAATTAATAATGACAGGTATTGCTGTCACACCCAAGCGGTGAAGACAGAAATAACTCACTCTTGTTTAATTCTTTATAGCCTGGAAAGTTATTTTCTCAGTTATAGATTTACTGAAAATCATGTCACTTTTCAGGCCAATGAAGGGCTCATGAATTTGCTTCAGAAAGTACAAGGATAAAGTCATAGATGATTTTTAGAGCTGATGTCGTTTCCTGGAAAGCCAGAAAGAAAATGCAGTCCAGTCTCCTGACTCCAGGTAGTTGTGCTCTAAGAAGTGAACACTGAGGTTGTGAGGACCAGCTCACGTTGGAAATGTGTGTGTGCCCACATACACATCACGGTGATCCGAATCTGAAATCCTAACAGCTCACCCTGGTACATTCTATTTCCTTTTGTTTTTCAAAAGAGAAGCGTCAAGTGGCGCTGCCCCACCAGCGGGTGCCAGAGTTGGGTTCAAGCCCAACTGACTGGCCCCCCGGCCACGCCCACGAGCTGCCCTTCTCTCTGTACTCTGGGCACCTCCAGGAGGGCCAGGACCAAAGTCTGGGCAGGAGCCGTGTCCAGCACAAGACTCACCGTGCCCCATGTGTGTCAGTGTATGGCTGCAAGGCACAGGGTGTGTTGATGTGGGGTCCCGGTGAATTACAGTGAGCAGAGGAATTCACAGAATGGGCTTCAGGAACAGCGGGATCAAGATCATGTCACAAAACCCCTGTGGGAAAAGCTGTGGGAGACTGGGTGGCTGCTGGGGGCCGCCAGAGGTCATGGGGGCCACGGCGGCTGCTGCCACTGCCTCGGGGCTCTGGTTCTGCGGCGTGCACCTTGCATCTTATACCACTGTGGTGCTGAGGGCTGGCGGACCGCAGGGTGTATCCTGGAAGCTGGCTTCTGAATCCAGCTCGGAGCACGGTGGTGAAAATTCCAGAAGCCTTGGGTGGGTGGGAGCCAGCATTCTTGGCTTGGCAAGTTTTCTTCTCCCTTCTGAGTTTTAATAACGTGTGTGTCGAGCTGAAGTTGTGTGCCAGCTCTATGTGCCTTGCGCTCCACCCCGCCCTCATGACCCCACAGGGGGCTGGGAGTCCAGGCTGCCGGAAGAGAGCTGTGACCCGCGGCCCCACACCTGTGCTTGTGACTGCACACCTGGGCTCCACCCCGGGACGACCAGAACAGGGCTGTGGGCATGCAAGGTGCGGTGGGGCCAGGCCTACCCTGCCCGGCTCTGACACCAGGGGGCTTCGTCCCGTCTGCTTCTAGGGCTGGGAACTCACAGGGAAGACCAGGCTCGCAGTGTGCACCTTCGATATAAAGACCAAGCCAGGTAAACAGCGGTCCAGGATTTGTGTGGTTCCTGCAGGTGCAGGAGGACCTGGGCCAGAGCCCTGCGGGGACCCCGAGCTTTCTGTGTGTCGGTGTCGCATTCACTTCTTTTCCCTTTAGAATTCTGTGTTTCTCCCCTGCACTTTACATTTCCATCCTTTAAATTAAGAAGTTACATAAATTTAATTGAAAACCTTCCAGAGGCCACGTGTGGTGGCTCATGCCTGTACTCTCAGCACTTTGGGAGGCTGAGGCAGGTAGATCATGAAGTCAGGAGATCAGGACCATCCTGGATAACATGATAAAACCCCATTTCTACTGAAAATCCAAAAAATTAGCCAGGTGTGGTGGCATGCACCTGGAGTCCCAGCTATTCGGGAGGCTAAGACAGGAGAATCACTTGAACCCAGGAGGCGGAGGTTGCAGTGAGCCGAGATTGTGCCACTGCACTCCAGCCTGGACTACACAGCAAGACTCCATCTCAAAACAAACAAAAAACCTTCCGGAGATCTGTGGGCCTCGGCAGGCTGGCTCGTGTCCCGGCCGTCCCCGAAGCTGCCCTCTGTCCTCCCTCAGACAGCAGCAGTGAGGTGGGGCTGTCAGGGCCCAGGCAGAGGCCGCTCATGAGCAGAAATGAGTAACGAAGGCGGAAACCAACACGGCATTGAAAGCCTTCAAATTGCCGCTGCTGCCGCCAGGCTGGAGAGCTGCGTAAATGGTTATCTTAAAGAGGCCAAAGGTGAGGATGGACGTCACGCCCACAGCGGAGAGTGCTGTGAGTGCTGGCAAGGTGCCCTTGGGGCCTTCGGTCAGCCCTGGACACTGAGCAGGGGTCCCGAGCCTCCAAGGTCCTCCTCTGCAGCCCCTTGGGGTGAAAGGGCCCCCAGCCACATCCTCTGCATCTGGAAGTCAGCAGGTGTGTGACGGGGTCTCCCAGAATCTCTGGGATCTGATGGGCAGAGGGGCTCAGCAGCAGGTCCTGGCGTTCCCACAGAAGGCAGGGGTGTGAATACAGAGGGCGCACTGGCCTGCCAAAGGTGCCAGGAACGGGAGGGACAGCAGTGTGGTGGGTGCTGCTGAGCCCCAGATCTCAAATGCTCAGGAGCCTGGATTCTGACAAGGTCAATCAAGATTGCATCTAAAAGAATGAAATTTAATACTAACAAAAGTTAAGGAACGCAGGTAGAATCCAAAGTCAGACAACAAGGCAACCCACATCACTGCAACTTAGAATCGCCCTAAGGTGCCTGCGGCAGCTGGCGCATCAGTAAAGGCAGCTCTCAAAACAGGGTGGGGACATCTCCCGCAGTCCACACTGCTCCCCCTACTGCAAACGTGCCCCCAGCGCTGGCCATGCACAGAGGAGAAGCGTAGAAATTAGGAAATATCTGGAAACCAGAACCGGGGGCAAGGTAAACAGAGCAGAGCGCACTCGGCCAAGATAGGACGGTGGCAGTGCCAGGCAGTGAGATTCAAATCACACCAGGATGAATCTGCTCTCGAGGCTCTGTCTGAACCCAGCAATGTTTTGTGTGTTGCGGGTTTGTGCAGCCTCAGCCAGTCACTCCTGGGTGCTATGGCGGAGATTCCCACTGGGATGCGGAGCTAAGATTTCCTTCCATCTCAGTATTTGCTGCCCACAGAGCGGGGAGGCCATGAACAAAGTGGGCTGCCCAAGAGCAGCTGCAGGATCGCAGCACAGAGGGGCGGAGGAGGACAAGTTGGGTGTCTTCGTTACCAGGCCTGGGTGCCGTGCTGAGAGGCTGAAGAGGACAAGCCAGGTGTCTCTGTCACAGAGCAGGAGCACCTGGCCAGCAGCCAAGGGCCTCAGGGAGCTGAGGGCCAGGGTGCAGGGCCAGCCAGGACCACCCCTCCGCCCTGCACTCAGCCCTGCCCCATCAGGCTGTCCCAGGAGGAAGCAGTGACAGGAGCAGTGACTGGTCCAGGTCACTGAGATGAAGACGGGTCTCTGGCATCCCGGCTGCCCCAGCCCGTCACTGGTGTCTTCCCTACAGGTGGGATACACAGTTTCTATATACACGGCATTTACATCTCTCCCAGCACACAAGACAGCCTTAACGCAATCTAGGAAACTACAGGCACGAATCCCCTAGGGCAGGGGTCCCCAACGCCCATGACACAGATTGGTACCATCCGTCATCTCCAGGAGACAAGCTGCACAGCAGGAGGTGAGCGGTGGGCCAGGGCACCGCCTCCCGTCAGCTCAGCCGAGGCATTAGATTCCCACAGGAGCTTGAACCCTACCGTGAACTGCGCATGGGCGGGCCCCAGATTTCAAGCTCTTTATGAAAATGTAATGCCTGATGATCTGTCACTGTCTCTCATCACCTCCCCGCTAATTGGACCACCTAGGTGCAGGAAAACAAGCTCAGGACTCCCACTGATTCTACATTAGGCTGAGCTATATAATTATTTCATTATATATTACAATGTAACAAAAACAGTAATAAAATGCATAGAAAGTAAATCTGCTTGAATCATCCTGAAACAATCCCCCTACTCCCAGTCCATGGAAAAATTGTCTTCCACGAAACTGGTCCCTAGCACCAACAAGGTTGAGGACCAATCGGGTGTTTTCTATTTTGGAAAGGCTGAGAAAGCACTGGGTAGGACTGGGTTGGCCAGGGACGAGGACGAGCTGGAGGGGCAACTGTGCCACTGACCCTCCGTCTGCCCACCAGGGACATATTTATCTGGCATCTCTTGCAGCCAGGAACAACCTCTGCTTGTCCATGGACAGACTGTGCGAAGAAGCGGCAGCTGAGCAGTGGAGAAAGGCAGAGGCCACAGCCAACCTTCCGTCCCCTCGAGGACACAGGGTCAGGGTGCTTATTCTGAAACTGGTTCCGTAACGGCGATTTGGGAATGAATCAAAACAGGCAACGTTTGGTGCCAGTTTGCAAATACAAGTTTGAAAACATTTAATCTCATCGTTGCTGCCTGGGTCGTGTAATGACTTTAAAAACAGAGCACTTGTTATTTTATTACTGGCTGGAAATGAAGAAAGAAGACACCCACGTGGCTGTGAAGGGCGAGTCTTACTCACTTTGCATCCGTGGGCGCCGCAGAGTCAGCCCTGGGCTTGGCCCTCAGAAGTGCGCTCCTCATTTTCATCTCCGTTGCGGAGGGGAGGAGAACTGGGGCCGCAACGCAGAACAGCGACAGCCGCGGTGGGAGCACCGCCCCCGAGGGCGCCTTCTTCTTCTGTCCAAACAGGAATTTTAGTTTCCCTTGAAACTGCATCGTCTGGTGTTTTAAAGACAGAAAGGAAGGCATGTTCACAAAGTGCCCCAGCAAGGTGGTCACAGGACACAGAGCTCAAGAGCACCATAGCAGCTGGAATTGCAGGGAGGCAGCTCACCGTGAGGGCTCAGGACAGCAGAGCTGCAGCTGCCGAGCTGTGACCCCACGGCCTGCACGGTGATTCGCGGGTTTCTCTGGAGTTGTGATCGCCTCTAATTGACAGGTATGTTCCCACGTGTGCACTCAATCATGCTCATGTGTGCGCCACTCCCCCCCCCCCCGCAGGTGGGCGTGAATGTGCACCTGCTGGACCTGCCTGCCACCCACCCACAGTCAGGCCACTGGCCAACCCCCTGGCAAGAATCTGCAGGAATGGATGATCTCCGAGCACTGTTTCAGCTTTAATGTTCCATTTCCAAATTATTAATCCTTCATTTTAATAACATTTAGGCACAACTTGATTTTATTTATTTAGGGCGTACAGTGTGACTTTGAAAGCCAGCAAGTAACCTAGGAGTTTGTTATAAAGGAAAATAAAATATCTCTCTACAAAAGAAAAGCTGATGTATAATTTAGTTATTTGCCAAGGGCATTCAGGGTACTCCTGCCTTCCATGGAAGGGTGGCCCCACAATGTGGCGTCACTTTCTATCCTTTTTTCATCCATCTATCTTTCCATCCATCCACCTATCCACCCAACAATCCATCTTTTCATCCATCCATCCCATCCATCCACCCATCCATCATCTTCCCATCCATCTATCCATCATTTTCCCATCCATCCGCCCACCCATCCACCCACCCATTAATCCATCCATCCATCCACCCACCCGTCCATCCATCATCTTCCCATCCATCTATCCATCCACCTTCCCATGCATCCACCCACCCATCTATCCATCTTTACATCTATCCATCTACCTTCCCATCCATCTGCCCACCCATCCATCCACCCACCCATCCATCCATCTTCCCATCCATCCACCCACCCATCCATCCACCCACCCACCCATCTATCCATCTTTGAATCTATCCATCCACCTTCCCATCTATCCACCTACCCATCCAACCATCCACCAATCCATCCATCCCCCGTTCATCCATCCATCCACCCACCCATCCATCATCTTCCCATCCATCTATCCATCCACCCATGCATCCATCCACCCACCTATCCATCCACCTACCCATCCATCCATGTTTCTATCCATCATCTTCCCATCCATCTACTTTCCCATCCATCCATGTTTCCATCCATCCATTCATCCATCCACCCATCCATCTATCCGTGTTTCCATGCATCTGTTATCTTCCAATCTATCCATCCATATTTCCATCCATCCATCTTCTCATCCATCCACCCATCTATCCATCATCTATTTAGCCATCCATCCACCCATCCAACCACTCACCCATCCATCTGTCCATCCACCTATCTGTCCATCTATCCATCTTTCCATTCATCCATCCACCTTCCCATCGATCCATCCATCCATCATCTTCCCATACATCCATCCACTCATCCATCTGTCCATCCATCCACTGATCTTCCCATCTATCCAACCATCCATCCATCCATTCATCCATCCTTCCATCTGTCCATCCATCCATCCACCCACCCATTCATCTTTCCATATGTCCATGGATTTATTAAACAAGTAATAAACACCTACTACGTAGCAGTCACACAATTGGTATGAGGGATTCAAGGCAGGAGTGTGTTGGGAAATGTTTAACACCTAGCTCTCCAGGGGGAAAATTCCCCGATAAGCAGTGTTTGCCAATTTCTTTAGTATAAATATTCCCAACGTGGCTGATTTCAAGCTCCCAAGTAAACTTCAACCGAATCTCAAAACTAGCATTTTCACAGTTGGCCCTGTGGGTGGCATGAGGGAGTTCCCATGACACCTGCTTTGCCCAGCCTGTACCACTCAGGGTTAAAGCTGGGAAGAGCTGTGGGGTTGTGCAGGGTCTTGGTGTGGCTATATTTCAGCAGCTGCACAGTAAAATCCTTCCAATTTTGTGTCATCTAGAAATAAGATTTTTTAATTAACCAATAATTGGCTATATAATTTTTTTAAATGAAGAACAGTCCATAGCCAATAAAAGTATCTTAATGTCCACAAAATTTAGAACAAAATACCAAAATTAAAGCCTTTATTGTCACTATCTACCTTTATAAATAAAAGCTGCACCCTGGGGCGTGTGTGTGGTAATGGACCTGGGGCCTGCGGAGAGCTGGTCCTTCCACAAGGTGCCCAGTGGGTGGGAAAGACACAAAAACATGCAGACCCACAGGTGCCTCTGCCGTGGGGATGGTCTGCACCCGAGGTCCCCAGGACATCATGGGTCCACAAATGGGTGGAAAGCTGAGCCCAAGGGGCCTGCCCTGCTAGGGTGCTGAGGTCAGAGGGCCTTGTGGCATTGAATTGCAGCCAGGAGTACAGCAGAGGCCACCACTGGGGCTCTCAGGGGCTGTGACCTGGGCCTGACTGCTGTGAACCAGGGCATAGGGGCTGTAGAGAGGCAGACGCCTCAGGGGTCCGAGAGGTGGGCAGAGGTCTGGGACAGGGTGGGAAGTCTTTGCCCTGACATGTCTGAGGGGGATGACTTCTCTAATTCATTGAGGAGCTAGAAGAGGAAATGGTCAAATAGCAGAAGCAAAAATCGCAAGTATCTGTTTGCAAAAGAAGAGGGTAAAACCAAAAAGCTCAGCAGAAGCTGTGGGCTCAGCCACTCACACCAGCCACAGCTGGAGGCTCATTTTTTTTTTTTTTTTTTTTTTTTTTTTTTTTTTTTTTTTTTTTTTTTTTTTTTTTTTTTTTTTTTTTTTTTTTTTTTTTTTTTTTTTTTTTTTTTTGAGACAGAGTCTCACTCTGTCGCCCAGGCTGGAGTGCGGTGGCTCGATCTCAGCTCACTGTAACCTCTGCCACCCCAGGTTCAAACTATTCTCCTGCTTTAGCCTCCAGAGTAGCTGGGATTACAGGCACGTACCACCATGCCCAGATAATTTTTGCATTTTTAGTACAGAGTTTCACCATGTTGGTCAGGCTGCTCTCGAACTCCTGACCTCAAGATCCGCCCACCTTGGCCTCCCAAAGTGCTGGGATTACAGGTGTTGAGCCACCGTGCCCAGCCTACATAGGGCACATTTTAAAAGATATTTTAATAAGTTTTAAATAAAGGTACAGCTAGAGTATAAACCTACTGCAGAGTTTTACATTTTCATCGACCTGGCTCGCCCACCACAGCAGGCCTCACGGGTGACTCATCAGGCATCCCCTCGTACGCCCAGAGGCGTCAAGGCCACACGCTGTCTGCCCAGCCCTCACCTCTCCACCAGGGACGTGTGGGTTAATGCCCCCACCTCCTCTCGCCCTGTTTCCTTCCATACCAGGGTGGAACGCACCCCAGATGTCAGGAGCCTCCTGCCAGGGACCCATGCACTCACCAGGAAGCCTGAGGTGCTGTCTAGCAGGCAGCGCACACGGCAGACGAAGCAGCGGGTCAGGAACGCCGAGTACTCGGTGGGCACACCTGCACCCCACTCCTGGGCCCTGAGCAGCCTCCCCAGGACGGCGTCATCTCCTGTAGGCCACAGGGGTCAAGGAGCGTAGTGGTGGCAGAAGCCAAAGTGCAGGGGGCCAAACGAGCGGCAAACACGCCATGGTTCTCCTGCCAAGGTGGTGGAAACCCTATTGCTGCGCACCCCTCCCTCCTGCCCCCAGCATCCCTCCAGACGTCACTCGGACAGAGTTTGCCTTCATCATCCTTTGCCTTTAAAAACATTGTTTTTAGTACATGTGCATGTATGACGATCCACCAATGGTTTCATCTTGCTTGTTTTTAGCTTTATGAAAGGGTCTGCATGTCGTCGGTGCCCGGCTCTGCTGTTTTAAGGTAAATCTGCTGTCCCATGAGGCTGTGATGGAAACTTCCGTGAATTATTTTAGGCCTCTGTGGATCTGTGTGAGGACCAGGGAGCCACCCTCTGCACAGGACCCCTGGGCAGACGCCATCTCCGCAGAGCCCCACGCCTGCAGGGCTCATCTTACCAGCTGGGGCCACGGGGTAGCGGGGGGCAAGCCCTGTGCAGGGGGTCTCTGTAAAAAGGGGCAACTGACTGAACAGCAACAAACTTTCAGGGGCTTTTTTTGGATAAATCTAGCATGAATCAAAGAAACTTCCTGGCAGACATGAGACTTGAGGGGAGTTAGCAAAACAAGAGGCCAGGACTGCAGCTCACGGCGAGGCGGCAAGAATGGCGGTGACCTCAAGCTCAGAAGAGGGCAGGAAAGCAACCAGGAGTGAAGCACTCATGAGCCACACACAGCTGGTGGCGGCCCAACCAGAGGACGGGAGGGACATGGGAGGAGGTCTCTGAAGAAAGGTGAGATTCGGCGCTAAGGTCAACGTGGAAGGCAGCGCACACCAAGAAGGTGCACCAGGACATTTTCCAGAGGCATCAACGTGCTATGTGACCTGTTCTCGGTTTTGCTGACCCACCTGTCTCTGAGGGCAGGGGCTGCCCAAACACCACCTGGGGAGGGTCCATGGCCCAGTGCAGCTGCCGGCGGAAGTCCTGGCGGTCGTCCACGTGGATGTAGTCGTAAATGTTCTGGTGCATTACGTCCGTCTGAAATATTGCAACAAGGTTATTTTAGCCTTTCCCCAAGTGGCTTTGCACACTTCACTCCATGGATGAGTTTCCCCTCCGCTTGTCAAAGCAAGTCACAGCCATGGGGAGAGAATCCCACCGAAAAGACAGCGCTTGGCCCTGGGCCCCCACGCTCCCTCCTGGGAAGATGCCCAAGTTGCCTGGAACACCCACCCACCCTTCTGCCAGCCCAGTGACGCCCACATCC